CCCACCTCCTTCGGAACGTGAGATTATCACTAAATAGTGGAAGGCGCCTCTGGGTGCAACATAAGTCTAATATGTGAGTTCGTCCCGGTCCGGTATCGTGGTCCGCGAGCCACACCCACTTTCTAGCAGGGGGGGCGGACTGCTGTCATACAGGGACGCATCCCCTCGACGGTGCCGACAAGGCGTGTTGTCGACTATTTAGAGGCGGTCGAGTCATGGTCAACGTCCGGTCACGTCTCGATAGTCCTAGTCACACACCGCGAGAAGAGATTGGACGGTCTCAACCCCACAGTGGCGGTCCCCCCACCTTGCGTATGTCCTTCTGCTCCAGTGCGCGCTCGCGACAGGGTCGGATTACCACGCAAATCTAGCGCGTAACTTTTCTTGCGACTGTTACTCGTAAAGCAAAACTCCGCTTGTTAGATGGCGCCGGCCGGCATTGCGTGGGTGTCGACTGAGTGTGGAACCTACGTCGTCAGGTCAGTCGTAATATCACCACTTGGACGACCGTCGCTCCAGACGGGTTCCAAGTAGTGAGGACCTATGGCATATGACTGTAAGTGGAGGGTGTTTGAGGAGTGGTGCCTTCAAAAAGGGCACACCTCTTTTCAATGTCCTGTTGGGGTGATTTTATCATTTCTACAGGACTTAATTGATAAACACAGAGCTTTTTCTACGATCAAAGTATACCTGGCTGCTATTGCTGCATGCCATGTGGGCTTTGAGGGTAAGACGGCTAGCCAACATCCTTTGGTCTGCCGTTTTATGAAGGGATCTCGCAGGCTCTTCCCTGTTTCCAGGTCACTGGTGCCCTTATGGGACTTGACAGTGGTTTTAGATGGGCTCACTCGAACCCCATTTGAACCCCTGGAAGGAGCATCCCATAGTGAGACATCTCACTACATGTTAATCTGAGAACTGGGGTTACGTAAATAACCTATATTTTTGGCGGCAGTTCTCTCTATATGGCGCTGCGTTTAGCCCCAACCGCTGGAGAAGCTGCAGTACATATGCAAGAGCCTTTACGTGGCGCTGTAACTTCCTCCACTAAAGCAGCGAAGAAGCATGGTTGTCATGGTTGCCCTTCTGTTTATTCTCCGCGGTGGGGGCAGAGGGAACCGGGCAGAGTTTTTTACTAGTCAACGTGTATTAAAGTTTAAATCTTCCGGACAAAATTATAAAAGTGCCGGTCAAAGGTCTTTTTTGTTATTTATTGAGCTTTAACACAAATGAATAACGACTCTATATAATATAATAAAACCCACGGAGCCTCTCTTTTTCCTCCCTCTCTTCGGACAGCGTCAGTGTCTGTCTCATGCAGCAGCTGATCCAGTAATGAGTGACCCGGCCGACAGTAAAAATAAACATATTTATAAGTAGTTTAGGTAGTTTGAGAGGTAATTAAAATAGCTAAGGGTGATGATCTGACTTGAAGTGTGTGTTTTGCTCCGTTCACCGCTGCATCACAGCGGGAGGAGCTGCAGGTGAGCAGAGCTGCGTGTCTCCGTCCTGTCAGATTAGACTTCACTCGCATTTAGGTCCATATCGAGAGAAAGATAAATGATCTGAATTCAGTGTGCTGTTTACTTTGACGCGGGGGTGAGCAGCAGAGGTGGGGAAAGGCGGGGCTATTGCCTCATCATTATCAGAAAATGATCGTATAGGGTTTACACACGGAGC